GAGAGAGAGAGAGAGAGAGAGAGAGAGAGAGAGAGAGAGAGAGAGAGAGCAGAACCCGGCAGAGAATTACAGACAGAGAGGGAGAGCGGGGTGTTTGACCACCACGTGCGGCGGCGCGGCATTAAGACCGCAAGTTGTGGCCAAAAACCCTTCCGGTCCTACCGACGTTCGCGAGGTCTCGCCCGCGTGTCGTCAAGGCCTCGACGAGATCAGCCGTAAGGCTGACGTCTCTCTGCCGAGGTCCACTGTTCGTTCTGCTCCGAGCGAACCAAAAACGAAAACAGCCTTTCCTCTCCACATGCAGCACCAACAACGAACAGGACTCGAAGCGTATCTCCCCAGTGCACCCCCGCTCCGCACCCACCTAATACGCAGTAGACTAAAGCCGGCAATCGCTCGGCCCTACCTTTCGGAACAACCAAGGCCAGTGTCGTCAACGGCAACGCACATGTTGTCGCATGCATCCGGCGACGAGAACCCTCAACTCCCTACCCAACCCTCGGACATGTGCGCACGCTCCCTCAGTCTCCAGAAAACAGAGGGCCCCTGGGGGGGATAGCGGAGGCATGCCCTTCACCATCTACAGCAGAAAAACATAGCAATTCGTGCAGCCACGCGCCCGTCGAATCCAGGCTTACCTTCCCGTGCCGACGATGGTCGACCCTCCTGGGCCGCAGCAGCCGACGTTTGCGAGGCGGCGGCGGCGGCCGGGTCGGATGGGGGCACGTAGCTCCAAGGGAGCGCGTTGATCTCGTACAGCATGGAACCCAGGGACCAGTCCACCTGCAGAACGGTTTTCGGAATGACGGCGGGGGGGGCTGTACTCATAGTCGTGCATGCCGTAGTCGTTAGACCATTGACCTCGCATCCCTACAAAGCCGGGACGGAGCACGCCGGGTTCTCACCGGACCAGGCTCTCACATCTTGTGCTTACTTCCTTGCGTACGGATGACAGCTGCGTATGACTTAATTCACTTTCTGGTGATTCACTTCCAGAGAGTTGTAAGCGCTGAGTAACTGCCTCGAGGGTGCTTGACCATTTTAACACAACGTGGTGTGATCATCCTCCTTGCGCGGAGTGAGGGTTCTCCACCCCGCACAACATGATCTACTCGACCACCATTATGGATACCGCCAAAACAGAAACAGAGGTAAAAACAAAACGGTAACCTGGTTGCCGAGTTCACGAAGTGAATTAGCTTGATTTACAACGTCGTTGCCAAGCGACGAAAACCCAATCCAAATGGTAGGGGGGGGGTGTACTCACAGTCGTGCATGCCGTAGTCGTTAGACCGTTGACNGACCATTGACCTCGCATCCCTACAAAGCCGGGACGGAGCACGCCGGGTCCTCACCGGACCAGGCTATCACATCACCAAGCGCGGANGAGGTAAAAACAAAACGGTAACCTGGTTGCCGAGTTCACGAAGTGAATTAGCTTGATTTACAACGTCGTTGCCAAGCGACGAAAACCCAATCCAAATGGTA